AAATAAAAGCAAGCACAATAAAAAGAAAAAGAAAAAAGAGCTTTTTGTTTTTAATTAGTTTTTATAATTAAAAATATCACAATCTAAAAAAAATAAACTTCTTTTACGAAAGTTAAAGTGTCAAATTTGAGAGATTAATGCAATTTGCTAAAGCAGAACCTAAGCCTGATGCACCTTCATCACCAATTTAAAAGAAGGGCTAAGCGGCTCGAGTGGGCGAGTCGGAGGGTCTTAGCAGTGATATCGGGGGTTCGAATCCTATACCGCCCCCTTTATTTCGAAAAATTCCATGTAAAAATGTGAATGTTACCAGCGGTCTCCTTGGTAGGAGGGAAGGGCCAAATCTGATAGGTGGTAAAGAGGAGGCCCCATTCTGAACAGAAGATCTGGAATACAAATGGGAAGCGAGCATAATGCGTAGTCAAATCATGGAAGATTAGTAGAAATGCCATTAGGGTGTAGGTGACCCTTCCCTTCTAGTATATTACCCACAATTATATATAAATAAATTGGTATACGTATAATAATAATGTATAAGTAATTATATATAGGGCCCCTATCCCGAGTGCATGTCACCATGTGCGAGTATGTATGTATGTATGTATGTATGTATCACCAATTTAATTGTTACTTTTTAAATATTGAAGAAAAAAATATATCATTAAATAGTTAATTAGAAGGAAAAATAAAGAAAAAATATGAAATAATAAGATAAATTAATTAATAATAAAAGCAAAAGCTGAAAATAAAATGATGAGTGAAATTAGCAAAGAAAAAAGAAAGAACAAAATAAAAGCAAGCACATTAAAAAGAATAAGAAAAAGAGCTTTATTGTTTTTAATTAGTTTTTAAAATTAAAAATATCACAATCTAAAAAAAATAAACTGCTTTTACTAAAGTTAAAGTGTCAAATTTGAGAGATTAATGCAATTTGCTAAACCAGAACCTAAGCCTGATGCACCCGTTGCACCAATTTAATTGCCACTTTTTAAATATTGAAGAAAAAAATATTTCATTAAATAGTTAATTAGAAAGAAAAAATGAAGAAAAAATATGAAAGAATAAGATTAGTTAATTAATAATAAAAGCAAAAGCTGAATATAAAATGATAAATTAAATTAACATAGAAAGAACAAAATAAAAGCAAGCACAATAAAAAGAAAAAGAAAAAATAGTTTTATTGTTTTTAATTAGTTTTTATAATTAAAAATATCACAATCTAAAAAAAATAAACTGCTTTTACTTAAGTTAAAGTGTCAAATTTGAGAGATTAATGCAATTTGCTAAACCAGAACCTAA